GCTCCTGGCACACACACTCTCCCACACTCTGGGGCGGCGGCGGGCAATAAGCAAAAAAAAACGAGCACCGCTGTATATGTTCCGTCTGTGTTTCTCATTAGATCGCTGGTATTGATTTGCCATCCCAGACTTCATGATATGCCACTGCCCCCTACACCCCAGCGGCGGGTTTATAGATAAGTCCAGCAACCCCCCGGAAGAAATGACCTAAGCAAAAAAGTTTGAGAGCAATCAACAGGAAGTTTGTTTGTGTTTTTCGGAGACGTAAAGTACTCCAACGATGGTGGCAATCTCTACAATGCCAGTAACACGCCCTCAGCAATTTGTACTGGTCCCGCGCTATGAGGGTCCCGCCGACAGGAGCTATATAACGAGAAACTGCAACATCACACTGATAACAGTATCGTCGGCAGTGGTAATAGCGAGGATTTATACAAGGAAATTTATCTCGAATAGTTTGGGCTTGGATGATTTGGCGGCCTTTGTTGCGCTGGTGAGTTTGAATTTTTGGAGTTGGAGCGAGCAGCGCTGATTGGATTGGGTTATGGCAGGTGTTTGCAGTGACAACGGCTAGTTTAGAGCTTGATGGTATATTCACCTTCTTTTTTTGGAAGAAGCAAGTTAGAGTATTGGCTAAAATAAAACCGCGGGCTAGCTATCAACTTTGGAATGGGCCGACAAATCGAAGAAGTGGATCCGGCGGACTTAGAAAGGTTCTTTATGGTATAAGCCCAGAATGATATGTAGAAAATATTCATAAGGTTTTGCCAACTAACAAGATGGAAATAAAGACTCTTCCAATATTTCAACTAGTCACATTCAATGCTGTCTACTTCGTCCGATTATCAGGTGTTTTATTCATTCACCGCCTGATTTCTGGTGGTATGTCATCTCTAACGAAGAGTTATAATTACGGTCGAAATCAAACTAACAAAACTATCGGAAAATAGTCAAGGCTAGTATGGGAGTTTGGATCGCAACAGGAATATTAACGGCTCAGCACTTCATTTTCTTCTTCGTTTTTCTACTGCAGTGCCGGCCGGTTCGGTATGTACCGTTTTCCATCATAGCTGTGCCACAAGCTCACATAGACTACATAGGGCACTTTGGCTGCACGATCTTCCAAAGAAATGTATGAGCAGAGAGGCGGAAGCGCATTTAATGTATGCCCATAGTGGGCTTGGAATTGGAATTGATTTGGCACTATTTGCTGTGCCAATGATATTTGTGTGGAAGCATATCTGGAACCACAAAATGAGATTTCGGATGGCATTGCTGCTGAGTGTTGGTAAGTCTCATCTCTGGGCCGTATCATCGAATAAAACGACTAATGAAGTACTGTTAGGGTCGTTTGTCGTTGTTGCGGGGGTTATCAGGTTATCTATTATTACCACTGTAGACATGGGAACAAATACGTGAGTACACGTATGTATGGTACATCTTTGGTTGAACAGAATGCTAACTACCTTTCTCTATCTAGAACCTGTAAGCACCTCTAATCTAGCTTAAGATTCACTGTATAATGAAAACTAACAATGAATCCAGGGAACATAACCTTCGCTGCCTTATGGACGCAACTAGAGATACATACTGGGCTGATTATGCTCTGTTTCCCATCACTCAACCCGGTCTTCCGGCGCGTCAAACAGCGCATCACCGGCGCAACAATGACCACCAGCTTCAGCGGCGCCGGGCAAAAGGGGATATACCCAAAGCCAGGGCCGAGTGTGGAGTTGTACACAATCGGCCAATCAAGCGAGAGGAGGAACAAGATCGTACGGGATTCCACCCTGGATAACGAGAGCCAGGAGAGGATTATGCAACCTAATGTTATACATAAGTCAACGAATATAGAAATCTCCGTAGAGAACATGGCAGGAGGATCTATGGAAGATACTGGGATAAAAGATGGGGCTTCGGCGGTTTCTTACGAGCGGGGGGACAAAATATGAAACCTCTCGGGAGAGGATTCTGGGCGTCGGTGAAGGGTTAGGAATTCACATGTAATTACATTTATATTTCTTTTGTTCATTTTCTTTGTCAATGGAAGACCTGCTGTAATGAATTGAAGAAATAAATAAATAAAAAAACGAAGTAAACATTCAACATTCAAGTAATTGGATGGTATTATAAAGTTGGTACATTCACTCTATAGACATGTGTGATCAAAGTGCCTCCCCTTTCTGCACAAATGCAGGAACAAGAATCGACACCTGTCAGAGCTTTGCATCGGAATCTTGTTTTAAGTACGTACGTAAATCCATTAAACATGCGCATGCTCATACGCTTCCCAACCGTCAGAAACATCTCCCCATACCTGTTGAAACATATGAGCATGTACCTACAGCGGCGCCTTCATGAAAATAGTAATTAAGCAGCGATATGGGGGCCCGTCCCCGCAATATCAAGGACAGAAATCACATCAAATCCCGCCACTAACGATTAAATTTGACAGGTTGGGGTACCTACATGTACATACATACTACCACACCTCCCTTGGTTTAGCCGAAGCTTGTTTTCTGGTTTCGGATATATGTGGGTGCTGGGGTACACGAGGCAAGGCCGGCCGGCCGGTTGTTGTGGGATGAGGTGGTGGGGGTGGATAGTTTCGGGGGTGCCGGCGGATTGTTCGGGGTATTGTGTTTGTCCGTAGTAGATACAGGCAAAAGATAGCGCCCTTAGACGGCTCCAAATGATGGATTACTGCTCGTTTCGAGTCCGAAGTCTGATATCTTTGATTGCAAAAATGTGTATGTAGGTATTACCTATTGTATAGCGTAGCCTAGTCAGCTCTGAAAAGCGGAGGTCTTGACCGCTATTGCATTCCTGCCTTTGGCACGCGCCGCACTAACCCGGGAGAAAGAGGCATTTCTGAACATTCAGGAGAAAATCTCGGAGAATTCTCTACTGTAGGTACAAGCATTATGCTCATCCTGTCACAACATGCACAGGTTCCTGGTTGTACCACCTGCCTCGGCATTCTCCGGAGAGCTGGAGGTAGCGAGTGATGATATGTGAACCCATCATGTAGATACAAATCTACCGTCACTGCATGTACCGAGGCAGTAAAGTAAGTGTCGCTTAAGCTTAAGTAGAGTATGTCGGGATATATTCCTGTTGGGTACGACGTGCTTAAGCGAGGTGACTGATGTGGGGAATCAGCAGCATGAAGCATGATTGATCATGAGGAGGTGAGGGGGTTGCAGTTGAGTGTTCACAACGATTGCATCAATGTATCCATTGTGGCAGAACAGGAATTCTCAAGGAGGCCAACAATTGGTTTTGGCGGAGGGCATATTGCCGACTGAAGGGATAGGAGCTGTTGGGAACAGGTTGCAGCTGTTGTTTGAGGTGGTGGTCGATACTGAACGGTAGAAGATCTGGAGAGCATCCCATGCATATGCGAGTGTGATTGCCTGCGTGAAGGAGGAAGTTGTGAGGGCTTGTGATCTATAATTCCGCAAAAAGGTGGGACTCTCGAGGATAACAAGCTTTCGGTCGTGAATCTCAAGAGTCTAGGCAATGCACTCAGCTTGAGTGAGAGATGACTTGACTGAGATCAGATGATGGATCCTTGTGAGGGTTAGGGTTCCTAGAATGTAGGCAGCTTCACCCTGGGAGCTCGGTGTCCTATTGGCACTAGCAAATACTTTCATGCTCCAGTTTGCTACAACGACGCCCGCCCACTCCTCTCCTCTCCTCTCCTTCTACATCACCCATCCCTTCGAGAGTGATCAAATAATATCATCAGATTCCTCAACCTGTTTCCTTCACATCATTCGCTTGGGAAAGTAGCTCAAACCGAGAGAATTCCTAATTACCAAATTCCTCCTACTGTTTTGGAGGAAAGAAACCGGTCAGTTATATAGGTTGTCATTGCGAAGTTATGTTTGTATACAAGGAACAAGAATAGAGCATTCCATTAACGAACACGAAGAAATCATAGGAACCAGATGAAACTCTCCAATACTTCCACGGCCACCCAAAGTCGGCGATCTCCGCGTACATACAGTACCAAAAAGATGGATAAATCTCACACCATAAGACTGCCGTATTCTATTGAATACGGTATTCTTGGAGCACCTAAGGTACTCTTGGAGCATTTGTGCTGATAAGAGTATTGGCGGGGTATTGAGGGCGGCTAGTACAGCATTTATATGGCATTGTTTGGGATGCCGCATTTCTGCACTAGTACTTGTCTCATGTACACAAATAAAGTTATTCTCACGATGAAGCATCGCGAGAACCTCGATCACAACAATTCAATCCATCAATATCTCCGTGGATATTTATCCAGCATCAGAGGGTTAGATAGAGTTGGGAAATACTTTTTAAAATACTTTTTCTTTCTTTCTGGGATTTCGACCTATCGCAGTTCTGCCGGTGGTTCGTGCCACAATTTTCCTCAGAGCTGGTTATGGTCTGATGGTGATGATTACGCATGTGTGGTGGTGATGAATCATGGTGTTGAACTGCAAGCGGACAGTCACCTAGCAGGAGTAACTCAGGCATCATATTCCTATGGTAGTGCTGCAAATACCCTAACCATGATTAACAATGCTGCATTGAAAACTGTGCCGAGTTGTCTCCGTATTGGCCGAGCAATACGGCATTCTAACAAATACCGAACTACTGCCGTAGCACTACGGTATCGAAAACATCCCGATTTCTGGTACTATACGAGTTGATGAGTATACTTTTAGCGTGATGGAGCTTCGCCTATCAGAAACGCGCGATGTCATACTCACGCTGGGTGTAGGCGGATCGAGTACAAATCAAAACCATTTCTCTATCATTGAGACATCCAGCCGCAGCTGACCAGTACACTCAGAAGTTGAGATTACTAATAATACATACAGGTTTGGGTTACGGCGATGCCTGCCTCGGCACCCCCGTATCCGATAAGCGAACGAGTTGTAGGGTTTATAACAGGCCTAACGCCGTAAATTTTTGACAGACCCCTCGCACAATCAGTCAATCAAAAAGGCTTAGCATTAACAATGTCGAAAACCACTTCCCCATTCTTCGCAGGGCCTAAGACTGGTCCGTTGCCGACAACAGATCTGCTCTCTTGGATGTTTGATAACCAACCTTACGATTGTGATAAAAAAGTGAGCAAATATTTGGTTTTCTACCTCCCTATACATTGAGCACGGCGAGACTGATTTTTTTTTTTTTTTTTTTTGAATAGATATATATCGATGCAAGTGACACGACGAGGTTTATCACTTCTGCAATTGCGAAGAACATCATACGAAAACTTGCGAAAGGTTTACGGGATGCCGGACTAAACAAGGGAGATTGTGTGCTAGTGCATGCTTTTAACGACGTGAGTGTTCCGGCGGTTTCATGTGCTGATATAGGATGGTAATCCCGAGGCAACATAATACTGATCTTTAAAGATCTACTACTCCATGCTGGTGCTCGGTATAGTAGCGGCCGGTGGTGTCTTCACTGCTACCAATCCCGCATACACAGCCCGGGAAATGGAGCACCATATCAAATCCGCGAGCGCGCAGTTCATTTTCACTGAGCCAGAGATGCTCCCTACTGTTCTTGAGGTTGCGAACAAAAGTGATGTAAATATTAGGGATATTTGGATATTCCACCCCTTAAAGGATCAAAAAGTGCCAGCTGGGCAAAAATCATGGGAGGAGCTGTTGACAAAGGGGGAAAGTGACTGGGTACGATTTGATGATGAGAAGCTAGCGCGGGAGACAACCGCATTCAGACTATTTAGTAGCGGGACCACAGGGCTACCGAAGGCGGTGGATATATCGCATCTAAATCTTATGGCGCAGCATGTTGCAGTAAGCGAATTTATACCAAAGCCATACGAGGTTCGTAATGACGAGAGTTTGTTTGGTGCTCTGCTGACATTGGATAGCCGGTTTCCATTATACCTCTTCCCATGTTTCATGTGGCTTGTGTGCCACATGCCCATGTTGTTCTCTTACGGGCTGGTCGAACAGCCTACATTCTCCGCCGTTTTCACCTTGAGCTTTACCTCTCAACCGTTGAGAAACATGGGATTAATGAGCTTGGACTTGTACCGCCGCTCGCTGTATTATTAGTCATGTCGCCACTCACGAAAAAGTATTCGCTACGCAACATTAAAACTGTACTTATTGGTGCAGCGCCATTGAGTAAGGATATTCAAGCAAGACTGAAAAACACAGTCAATCCAGACAAGAACCCGTTAGTTAATCAAGTATGGGGGATGACTGAGAGCACCTGTATCGCAACCATGTTTCATAACATGGAAGACGATGATACGGGCAGTGTGGGAAGACTATTGCCAAATCTTGAGGCCAAGTAGGACTCATCCCCCGTTTCAGTAGCCATTTAAATCTAGTTAACGCATTTTCAGATTGATCGATGATGCAGGAAACGATATCAGCGCCTATGATACTCCTGGCGAAATTTGCTTGAGGTATTTTTCTGATGGATGCTCTTGGCGGAGTTGTGGCTTATTTTCTTTCATTAGGGGTCCCACAATGATCAAAGGTTACTATAATAACGATGCAGCGAACCGAGAATCTTATGATTCGGATGGCTTCTACCATACAGGTGATATTGGTCTTTGCGACGGCAAAACCAAGAAATGGTACATCGTTGACAGGAAGAAGGTAAACCCTGTAGGACCCTTGCATGGTGTGGGTTGGCATTAACAATTGTTATACTGGCTCTTATAGGAGCTTATTAAGGTTCGAGGCTTTCAAGTCGCCCCACCTGAGCTCGAGGGAATCCTGCTGGAACATCCCCACATCATTGATGCGGCGGTTATCGGAGTTGTTACCGAGACACATGGGTCCGAGCTTCCCAGGGCGTATATTGTTAGGCGACCTGGATCAAAGCTTGAGAAGCAGGAGGTCAAGGAATACGTGAAGGCAAAAGTGGCGTCGTATAAACGACTTGAAGGGGGAGTTGTCTTTTTAGATGCAATCCCGAAAAACGCAAGTGGTAAGATATTGAAAAATGCGTTGAGGGAACTGGCGAGGAAGGAGATGGGAGCAGTGAAGGCAAAACTGTAATTGTTTATTACTAAGGTATGGATTTAAGTTATTCAATGCTAGGCATCTATGAAATCCCTGCATCTCACGGCCCCTTAGGTCTTGGATGTTCTACTCTATAGCTACTCGCGGTAGGCATGAAGAACCTGAACATCGTTTTTCTGGTAGCAACCACTTTGACCCCTGCTAGCGCGTTTTTATGTTCAGGTTCTTGTTACCTGCCCCGAGTACATATATGCCTGCCGCCCCGATACCGATACTCTTATTTTCACGACAGTAGATCACATAAGGCAAATAGCCTATATGTAAATGTCACGTAAGTACCCGCCAGAGATCTGTCCCAAGCACTAGGTAAACAGGCTGTTAAATAAGTTGATTCCAAACCCTTACTTGATGGGTACCTACATATAGTTATGAAGACCATCACTAATGCTTCGTTCCCGAATAAAAAGTCAAGTCCCAAATGATCTCTCCAGGAATAACTTTACAACTGTCAACTTCGCAACCCCCCCCCCTCTCCGCCAAACAGACGTCTACTAAACCTTGCGTATACATACTTGAATCTTGATAAAAGGATCCTATTTATCTACTGCCTGTACTAAAGTATCACTACGTTGCCTTTCGCTTGACAGGAATACCACATCCAACCACACGGAAGATGCCTAGACCCAATACGTACTGCTATCTTACTGGTGTGCCTCATAGCCGTAATTTTCAAGGGAGGTGAACGGATTTTCATTTATGCATGACATAACGGATACTCAAGGTTTGTTTGATCTTCTATCCGCTAAATATCAGATTTGTTCTTATTTCCCAGAACAGTCCAGAGAGATAACTACATGTAGTCTCCCGGAACCCAATTTTCCGTTCACCTATGGCCTTCGTTATTTGGCCTAGTTAGTTGCATGCACTTATATCTCTCCCCTGAGTAGGATTGACAACAGATTTCACGAAGAATGGGGGTGCCGAAGAACTCTAACTTCTATACGTTACGTCCTACCCATTCTTCCCCACTCTATGCTTCAATACAGTAGAGTGCCCAACCCAAAATCTGGGATTGAAAGGGGTAGCCGCAGTCGGTGTTGCATGTTCAGGGGCCAAGCTCGTTAATTTGCCCTTATGGAAATGCGGGGTTGGTCCCGCTTCTTTTTTTTGACTAGTACAATTGATATGATAAGGCTAGTAATTAGGTTTCGCGGGAATTGCCGAGACGCAATCAGTTACTTGGGACGAAACAACATGTTAATTGTGGCTAGTAGTCCACTCATACCTGGTGTTGGTTATCTTTGGAACCTCGGTCTCGCAGTAATTTCTGTGGACGTACATATGTGGGCTGTGTGATGGTTTTGCAGTACCAAGTTTAGAGCAGAAGAGTATCAGGTACGTACAGACCTTCAATGGCAAAATGTGCTCTACCTACCTAATGAGGATTCTGGTCTCAGCCTGGAAGGGTCACAAAGACGTTGAATATCTCCTTTAACTCCTAGATCCAGAGACTTAGGCGTTAAAGATGTTCTATTGGTTGTTTATGCCGAGCTAGCTATGGCTGTACTCGTAGGGGATACATACTTGTCAGGCATCAGAAATGCCTTCTGGAATACTGCGATGTGATACGGAGTCCCAAACCCCTGGTACCCGGGATTCCCCTGGGGTGGCAAAACCAGAAAGCTAGATTGTTTATTCTCAGCTCGTTGTCTATTGGACGGACAGATCGTGCGCTTCCGATCATGATCTTCTGCAGGTTGGCACTTGCACATGGCTGGACGGAAAGCCATAAACCACGTTTTGCGATCGCGCTTTGGTGTAACAAACCACAACTCTAACCAGCCTTAACCTGGAAAAATGAGACTCATAACTTCCAAGTTGTGATAGTAAGACTATTCCACCCCTGAGGGTGCACAGAGTTTTCCAATTTACATACCTAGTAATTGTATTATTCGAAGGAGTAGTGCCATTTCAGGTGGGTGTAGATAAGTGGGTGTGGTTATACATGCTGATCCTATAATACTCATTAGTTCCCTCGTCTTTCCTTTCTCTCCAAGAACCCCTCATACCGAGTAATGCCCAGTCGGCATCTGATGCAGTCGAGCTGCACTTGCACTCGTGTCTGCAAAAATCTCTAAGTAAGACCCCCACCCCCCACCCCACTCACATGTAACTCTAGACTTTCAATATGTACTAACTATACCAACCTCAATAGCCCAAGTATTTTATAACTACTCGACTATTTATTCCGAAATCTTGGCTCTGTGTGATAGCCAATGGAGATCCACACGTTGCTGGAAAGGGCCAGTTTGGGAGATGACGAAAATCGCGGTCCAAGGTTACTAATTACGGGAATAACATTGATGGTAATAGCAGTTCTGGTCTTGAGTGGGAGGATATACTGTAGAGCTGTGTTGTTGAGGAGGATGGGTAGTGATGATTGGTGTATGATCTTAGCAACGGTATGCATTGACGTCGCTCAGAATGTGGGGAAGTTGATACTGATCTTATTATTATTTGTGGGAAAGATCGTTGCCATTCCAATCCTGGTTACAAATTGTATAGGTGAGAAATGATATTTTGTACCTGTCTGTACGAGAGTAGGAAACTGATAGTTCATGTAGGTGTTATGGGTGGAGTTGGGCGTCATACCTGGAAAACATCTGTAGAGGCACAAAAGATGGCAGTAAAGGTAAAAACACTCTCTCAGGCCTTATATTATCACCAAATTCTAATACCTCCGCAGATGGGTTATGTTGCCATGATGCACTACTTCCTTGCTCTTGGCCTGACCAAGTGCTCCCTACTCCTGTTTCTTATTCGTCTTGCCCCCAGTACTCGTCTTTCAAAGATATCTTGGGGGATATTCTACTTTGTCGTCGCATACACAATTGCTGCATTCATTCTCTCAGCTGTACAGTGCGTGCCTGCATCTTTCATATGGGATGTCATATCGGAGGGAAACAAAATCCATGCCGTTTGTCTGCCACAGCGACCACTCAACTTTTCGCTATTTCCAATAAACATATTCACAGATATAGTGATTTGGTTGCTGCCTTTAAGGACGATTTGGAGCATCCAGATGCCATTGAGACAGAAACTTGTGTTGTTGGTGATCTTCTCAATGGGTAGTATGTGAGTATTTTTTAAGATAAAGTGCGAAAACCCGATGTATGAAGAGATACTGATGAAAGTGATCGGGTAGGAGTGTTTTGGCCGGTATTCTGCGTCTCTCTAGCGTTGAGACGTCACTCACTACGACAGATCCCATGTGGGATAATATTAACCTCGGAATATGGTCGCTGTAAATACCGCCCCCACCTCTCGAGATTTCAATCTCAACTACTGACTTATTCTATAGAGTCGAAGTTCTGATTGGTATCATCTGTGGTTCCGCCCCTGCTATTAAACCCCTCTTCTCTAAATTCCTTCCCGGGCTCCTGGGCAGCTCAAACGCTATATCAGACAACAGCAACAACCCCGACCACAACAACCGCAGAAGCAAGAGCAACCGACATTCACGTCACTTCCCCGGCTCCCTCTCGAGGCAGCAGACAGCATATGCGCTTGGGTCCGTTAGTACCAGGCGCGGGAGTGTGATGGGAGATGGCAACACATCGACTGAGAGATTTGGACCGAGGACGAGGATTGAAGGACCTAGAACGGCGACAAAGTTGGATACCACTAGTGAGACAGCTAGCGAAGAGTATCTACGGGACGGGGATATAGAACCAGAGGTGATCATGAAGAGTACGGAGGTGCAAGTTAACTTCGAGGAGAGGGTATGACACCTGGAGAAATCAAGTGATGAGGGCAGATTTTAATGTCTTGTTTGTAAATACTTTGGAGCAGTCACGCTTATGTGAACTGTCATGTGTGTATTTTCTTTTATTTAACGTTTTCATTTGTTTATTCTTCGCGATCGATCATGATTCTAAAATGTTTAGTCTTCTAATTGAGTAAACACTGGTAGAAAAAGTGCAGGGACTTCATTCACACCAAATGATGCCTATCGAGTTTTCTAGCCCCATTACGTCATTGTAGAACATATTACTAAGTACAAAGAGTGACTAAGCCATATTTACTAGAGGTGCAGGTTTTGATTCCGAAGGGAGCTTTCCTACGTGTGGTGAGTAAAGGTCTTAACATCGTGTGATGCGTCGTGTTGTTCCTTTGTTCTCTGTATGTACATATGTATCTGCCATCACATTTCCGACACGGCCAAACTCTCTTTGGCGCACGCATCGTGAACCACTCGGCAGTCTTAGTGCCGATCTGTGAGTGACACGTGCGATATGGAAATGATCAGAATGTGGGTTTTCTTGGAGGGTTAGGTAGCAACGCCCCACGTACATGTTTGAGACGCTTGGCTACCCGGATAATTTGAATGAACCGGTTTTCAGATCTTTATTATATTAAAGTAGGACGCTGTTTAGTGTATGCGTTACGCTTTGCATACAATGTTTTGAGGGAAAGAAATTAAATGATCAATCTACGTGGATGTGTGTGGCATAGGCACCAAAACACATATTTATTAATGCTGGAATCGTTTCTTAGCTCATTTATTAATTGGTTTATCCATTTTAATCCCTTTCCCGATGCCTTTCCCCACACAAAACATAATACTGTCGGACCATACTTTTCCAATTCGAGAGATCCGATACGCATGGCTATGGAGCTTGAGGAATCCGTGTATTTCGAAAGACCATATTTTCTCACGCTTTCACCCTATCCTGAATGTAGTTTAACCATGGTAGGCGCACCAATTCTACAGTAGACTCTCGATATAAGGATATTTGATATAAGGATATACGTGGTATAAGGATACGGCTGGCTGGCCCCGAAATTTTTGTATGGGATATTAAGGATAAATGGCTGTAAGAATATCCTTAGTTTTCGGGTGATTTTTTGTATGGATATCCTTATAGAGAGAGATCTTGGCATTGGAAAATGCTAGAAAAAAAGGTTTTTACCAACACACGCACAGGTATATCTTGAAGTTTCAATTATCAGTTCTGAATACCGACTCAGACCCTCCAACATCCAGCTATACCCGCCCTTTTTGTTTGATATCCGTTGCCATGGAGCATATACCGCCCTCTCCTCGAGCTCTCACAACAGACATGGCCCCTAAGCAGAAGCAGAAAAGGCAGACCTTTACAGAGCAGCAAAAGAAGTCTCTATGCGACTGGACAAAAACTCAGCAAGAACTAAATGGTGTACACCCAGATTGGAAAGAGACGGCAAAATGGTTTTCAGATACGCACTAAGGAAAAGCAATAGCACAATCAAGCATGAGCACGATCCTGACTAAATGCTCAGCAGATTTTTTTGAACAATCCTTGTCAGCTGAACCTTGGCGATCAGATATCAAAAAGAGACGGGAAGTAAAATACCCTGAGTTAGATAAGGCTTTATACGAATGGCATATCGTTATGCAAAAGCATGTTCCTATTAATGGCATGGTGTTGAAGGAGAAGGCAAAAGATATTTTTGTCCAAATATATCCGGGTATGTCTATACTATTCTTGTGTAATTGACTGTTCCCAGTTTCTAACAATACCTAACAAATAAATCCTTTTAATACAGGCCAGGAACCGCCAATGTTCTCTGAGGGCTGGTTGTCAGTTTGGAAAAAGAGGCACCAGATTAAGCAATTTATACAGTATGGCGAATTGAATGATGCTGTCCAACACCATTGTGTCTTGGGTTTGGATGAAATGAATACCGTTCGGACGATACTCGAGAATTATAACCTACAGGATATATTTAACTTTGACAAAACCGGCTACTTTTTCCGTATGCAACCTGACAGACGCCTCTGCACTGAACTACTCGAGGGGTCAAAGAAAAATAAATTGAGAATTACTGTTGGATTTATTTGTAATGGAACGGGATCAGAGAAACTTCCTTTATGGATAATCGGGAAGGCCAAAGACCCTAGATGCTTTAAAAACCTCAACCGGGATAACCTTGGTGCCATATATCGTTTCAATCAGACAGCTTGGATGAAACATGATATAATGATAGAGTATTTGTATTGGTTTGATCGAAAGATGACAGGAAGAAAGGTTGCACTTCTGATGGACAATTTTTCAGCCCACGAGTTAGCAGTCAAACCTATCGGCAATCAGTTACAAAATACATGGATTATATGGCTTCCAGCAAACACAACTTCAGTTTGGCAACCATTAGACCAGGGTATCATACAATCTTGGAAAGCGCATACGAGACGACACTATGTACGGTACCTAGTAAAAGAAACAGAGAAAGTTGAAGTCGGAGTTAAAATCCCTGAAGTTACTTTATTGGAGGCAATTCAATGGGCAGTCGAGGCTTGGAATAATGATGTTAAATCATCGACAATATTCAACTGCTTTACAAAAAGCACTGTCAAATACTTCGGACCGACTCAGCTTAGGTCTGAAGGTGGCAGTGCTGCAAGGGATATGATCGATCTTGTTGCTGAAGTACGGGCTGATATGGAAATACTCTATCAAAACCGTTATATTCAGGAGCCGATTGATGTCGGGACGTACCTCAACCCAATTGAGGAGAGGGTAAAAGACACATCTGAAGATATAGAGGTAAGTTCATATCTCCTGACTCTTATTGAATGCATACTGTTACTAACAAATATGGTTCAAGTAACTTCTAGTCAAGCATCTTGCAGCATTATATTCCTGTCGATGATAGTGACGAAGTGGCATTAGAGGAAGAAAATGAAATACAACACCTCCAAATTACCTACGAAACCGCAATCCAGTACCTCGGACAACTACAATATTACTTTATGCAGATGGATATCACCGGACCCCCTTCAGCCAAATCTGATTTGATTGATATGCGGCGTAGTGTTGAGGCAGCACAGGTCGAGCAAAAGTTTCTAAAACCTCAACAAAAGCTTACAAGATTCTTTCAACCTGTAACGGCAGCAGAAAACAGCGGGTTCAGTAAGGAGTGAATACTTGAACCCGCAACTCATTTTCCCTTTATTGCCCCTTGAGACTCATAAATAATCTCGCTTCTGATAGGCTTAATTTACTAAAATACTTCTAAGTTCTCTCTTCTTAAAACTTCAATCAGATTTTCATTTGCTCTTGTATTTGTTGTTTGGGTGTTAAAAAACAAAAACTAGTACACCCGTACCCTTACTGGAAAACAGCGGGTTCATATTCCCCTTATTGCCCCTTGAGACTCACATATAATTTCGCTTCTTATAGGCTTAATTTACGAAAATACTTCTGAGCTCTCTCTTCTTAATACTTCAATCAGAATTCCATTTGCTCTTGTATTCGTTGTTTGGTTGTTAAAAAACAAAAACCAGTACACCCGTACCCTTACTTGAAAACCTAACCCTGAACTTGTTATAAGGATATATTGGCTATAAGGATAGTAGCTCCCGGTCCCGACCATATCCTTATAGCGAGAGTCTACTGTAGTACTGAGGCCGCTCGGTTTTGCTTAACGTTGGCCTTTCCTGTCTCGAGGTTTCGAGGGAGTGGCCTCGAGGTGTCTCGAGGCATCTCAAGACCCCCAAAATAGGAACTTTGGGTGATAATAGTGAGTCGAGACCTAAACTTAGTGCGATACCAACCTGAGTCTGTATTATATTAGATATACTCGAGTTTGGCGGCCTCGAGGCACCTCGAGGCCTATCAGATTGGTGGTTTCGAGCTTCCTTGGCCTTGTAAGCTTTCGGTATTGTCCGGCCTCGAGGTCATGGTCTCGAAACAAAGCCACAAGGCCGCTCGGCTTCGTGGACCACACTGGCCTCGATATGGCTGTGACAGATGTCGACATAACATGTTCGAACAGACCACCCATTGGGTTCGACCTCATTTGAAAAACGGAATATCCAATAAGAATGTGTACCTAAGCATTTTATGTATGCAGTTATTCTCGTTAATATATAGGCTTTACTTTAGACTATTAGGGCTCTCTAGGAGTCAATCATTGCAGAGGCATCAGCTAGCGCTAATCATGGATTATCACTCGTAAATATTCCTCCTCTAATTTTCTCCGTGTATTTTGTCTTTTCACGGCCTTATTACCGGTTCCGTTTTATATTTTCTCCAGATACCTTCCTGTGGGGTAGAGAGCGAACACGTAACCTTAAGTTTAGAAAGCCCACCAAAATGGGGTTTCTTTTGCCTTAGATCATACTCAATCCACTTCACAATTTTTAGAAAGCGCAACGTTGTCAGCTTTATTATCAAATAACAACACGCAGATCAATATCTCAAAGTTAACTGTGAAAAAGTGCGGTCCAGTATCAATGAATGAGTATTAAATATCTTGTGCTAGGCGTCCTGGTCTACGCACCCAAGAAAGCTTAGTGAGAGAGATCTAAGGTAGTGAGAGATGCTTGGCTACATGCTCGTTGTTAGAATACTATAATCTTATTAGCGTTCCTCTCGGCCGCCGGGGAAAGAACCAGAATCCCAAAGACCACCGGATCGCGTTATGCAGCCCTTCCAGCAACAAGTATTGCCCTATGACCTGAGCACTTCGTATGCGAACATATGTCTCAGGGTCCAGATAATTAATCGGATTCATTTCTATCGTTCCCTTGTATCTTAGTTATCCAGGTATTGAGAATTCACAATGATACCAAAGGTGTAAGAGGAAAGATGACATGTCGAGGTTTGATTTTCGGGACTTTTGATGTTTTCGACAGTGCTAGTAATTATATAGGTACAAGACTAAAAGGGTATTAATCGAGGTGGTCCTATAAATTCCTTCACCAATAAAGAGTGAAGACTCGGATTTCCTATCATGTGAACCATGTAATACATTGTGTAAAGTCTCGAGAATGGGAATATTTTTCAAATACCAGACCATCTGCAACCCCCCTCTTGTATCCTCCGGTTTTTAGAGGAGGTCCTTGACTGCGAAAATAGCCAGGACCAATTTTAAAACATACAACATCACTCGTATTTTCGATATTATCTCTTATCTGGATTTTTTTTATTTAATTATTGAAGTCTCCTTTGTGCTTCAGCAGGTTCATTTATTATTTATCTTAAAACCTCCCCGATATATCGCGCGCACATGTTGACCATTCAAAATCAGAGCTCTTAGCTGCGCTTATGTCGAGAGTTTGGTTCTCAATTTGTAAATTTCGCTTTCTCAAACCTGGTGACATTGATATTCAAAGGAATATTTGGCCTCACATCCGGTCACATATGTTGGTAGAGATGCGTTTCCATCGTCCAAGTCCAGTGAACCGTTGCATGCCTAAAGCCGGTACCACCCTGCCAAGTCCGAAATGTTCAAAACACCGCTCAAGAAGGTAAGCTCAACGTCCTGTGTGACCACTCAGAACTAATAGTGTTACAAAGTAGTCAAGCCACAATGGCTTTTGTGTTCTCCCAGAGGGTTTGTATTAGTTACGCTTTCTCATGGGTTGACTTTGTGCGGCGATCAATTCGCAAGGTCCGGATCTGGTGTTCGGCTCTCATTCGGTGAATAAAAGCAATCGCTTGCAATATAATACAAGGTCCTCTCAGATTCAGCGCGTAATCCATTATAATGCGTCCCTTGGGGGTTAGAAGCGTGTATTGCAACCAGATGACAGGCGGGATTCAAGCCTAAGTAGGTATGTGCCTATTCGATCCTCAATAATTGTTCCAAGTGCCTGTACCTACAGTGGGGGTTTCTCTGTCTCCTTCACAGTAGTATGGGATATTCCGTTGATGGTGCTCATTTGACGCAGTTTAGCCTCGACGGTTGCCAAGAGATGTCTCGCGGAGAAGCACAATGCTGCGTTGTTGATTAAGATGCGTAGGTTACTCCACTCTAGATGCTTTAGAATCAGAGCAGTAGCATAACGTCTGCTCCTGTTGTGAACGACTCAGGTTACTCTTTGCGTTCGTCCCATCTGTTGCAGTACGGTATCCTACCTGATAGGCGTATGTAGTTGTAAGCTCCTAGATCCTCCGCTCCTCCGGGGCACTCTTGGCAACCGTCCAAGACAGAGTAGAGACTCACTTTATGGAGCTTGCAACTGCGATGGAGCTGGAGTCCGAGTTGAGATGAGATGGAGCATGTGCCTAGGGTTGCATTCTCATTGGGTGGGTATGTCGAGTTTGAAAGACTGGGGATTTTGGTTCGGGCCCGAGCGAGTTTAGTAATGTGAATCGAGAAGCGAGAAGCGAGCGTGTTGAAATATCATGGCTGGAATTGAAGAAAGCTCCGCGATTGAGCAGTGATTAGATTGAATTGATTAGAGTAGGTTCTCGGATGCGCGTCGATTTCCCGCGGCTCCGCCTCCCTCCCGATCCGGAACATGAAAAGTCACTCGGTTACTTGTCGTTCCTCAGATTACTCTGGAATACGATCACCCATAATTCTTTACCACTATAAGCCCCGCTACCGAACATTTCGAGATTTCAAGGGTTTGTATTTTATCTCCCTTTTACTTCAACCCACTCTCTCTTACCTCGATCTCAGAGTTGATTAGCTACTTGTTGTTAATGGTTCCCTAACCGAGGTAGGGTACAAAGTGATCTACAACTTTTGAAAGTGTCCCTGCATATGGTATTTAATTGCAAGTACGTACTCTAATCCATCATGGGTTAGGGTTCGAGTCAACATATACTCAAACTGACCTCGTATTTACCGTGGCCCTGGGGCAGAACCTTGTATGCAGCTGGCGATTCTTTCCCTTTATAATATTACTCGCTCTTGTGGTAGGTTCTGTCTAGTATGTATGTATGTAGGTACATGTAGGTATCTGGGGTGGACGATGGACGACTACATAGATAAAGAGTGAATAATACATGGGGATTATTTAGGGTTATATTGTATATAAGGTGCATGTTGGGGTTTATTTGATTGATTGGGGTTTGCTAAGGTTAATATAGAGCTGAGATTCATGCATCTACGATCTTCTGATCACCAAGATCACCACGCTGGCATCCGAGACTCCCGGACAGGACCAGAGCAAACGATTGTAAGTACTCGAGTACCGCTCTTTTCCACTTCCGTGATTCACGGAAAAAAACGGAGAAAAAAAGGCAGCATATATTGCGGAATGAGCGGAAGATGGGATGTTGTGATCTTGAGAATCATATGCATTGCATGCAAACTATCCCAGCTTATGCGTTAGACTCTGGAATACTTGAGAGTATGATATGTATTCCCTATTATACCAGAAGGGATCTTCCATGGAATATTCGCTACTAATCGTTTTTGTTCCTGCATAATTCCCAATTGGCGTGCTTATTCGAACCCCCCGACCGACCACAAAGATCCTGGAAGTACTCGAATTTAGATCGAGTAAGATCGAGAATCACCGCTTGCTCCAGATCAACTTTTTACCTACTTTCTAGGTATGTATGTAAGTACTATATCTCTAGAGTACCTAGATGTACCGAGCTCGAATACTCCACGTAAACGCAATTTACCAATAATCCGGACAGCGGGCGATCATCTTCCGCGAACACAACGGACCTTAACACCGGAAGTCGTGTTGATTGCCTTGCACTCCTTCTAATCTCGCGTCTGCGTATTTTTAGGTGCAAATGCAGGCACTGACTGGGGAAGAGCTGTGCGATTTGCATGTCCACCCGGAGATGGGCTTTGTAAGATCGTTCCAGTTGAGTAGGTAGGTAGTTCTCGAAGAAAATCTGTTTACTACCGGTACACCTCCCAAGACCTTCATCTCACCCACGGGTTTGGCCCACGGGGAAAAGGGGGGGGGGGGGGGGGGGTGTAAAAGAGGAAGATATTTTTAGTCTGGCGGTATTACCGCACCATTCTGCTGGGTGTTTCAATTGAGTATTGAAAATGTGTTCATTCTGCCGAATATCCACTGGAAAACAAAGAGTGCCAAAAAGCTTGTAGAGTCGGTGTGAAAAAGAAAGCCCAGCCATGATGTATGTAGAAAAGGAAGTGTATGTACACATATATACGTTTACAGCTACATACATACGTTGGATATTCGGATCCTCTGGAATG